CCACAGAGCTCTCTCTCTTCAGTCACCACGCCCTTGAGTCATTGCCAGCAGGTGCTTGTCATTCTCCTGCCTTTGGGTCCAGACTGGGTGAGATCCGCAGGCACAGGACAGAGGCTCCCTGTCCCAGTTCTGCGCCATGTGACCTTTGGCAAGCTACTGAACTTCTCCAAGCTTGCTTTCTTGTCTGCAAAATGAGGATAATGGTAACAGCATGAACACTGGCCGGGCTGTGAGGAGAATTAAACGTGGAAGCCCCCAGGCACAGGGTGAGCACTCTAAATGGTAGCTGTTATTCTTGACTGCCGTGATTACATGGCTGTAGCATCCGGGGAGCTCCATAGCTGGGAGAAAGCAAGCCCAGGACCGTGCTGGTAATGTCAGCGCTGCCACAGCCCCAGGTCCCACAGCTCTGCTCTCTGCTTCTGGACTTCCTACAAATGGAGCCTCACTTGTTGACTTGAAGGAATGAATGGACATGCTGACTCCGATGTCTCTTTGTGGAAACTCCGTATCACACAGCCCTGAAGATGGGACAATTTAAGGAAACAGGCGACATGATCAATAAATCATGTATCTATTGTAGCTGGGATTATAGGTGGGCACCACCATGCCTGGCTAATCTGCCTAATTTTTTTTTTGGTAGAGACAGTCCCACTATGTTGCCCAGGCTGATTTTTATTTTTATTTCTCCGCAACTGTGCAGAATCTCACACTATTGCCCAGGCTGGAGTACAATGGCATAATCTTGGCTCACTGTAACCTCCACCTCCTGGAGGTGCAATTCGCCTGCCTCAGCCTCCTGAGTAGCTGGAATTACAGGCACACACCACCACATCCAGGTAATTTTTTGTATTTTCAGTAGAGATGGGGTTTCACTATGGTGGCTAGACTGGTCTCAAACTCCTGGCCTTGTGATCCACCCACCTCAGCCTGCCAAAGATCTGGGATTAGAGATGTGAGCCACCATGTCCAGCCAAGAAAATGGATGTATATAGAAAAAAACCTACCCACAAAGCATAAAGATTAAAACATACCATGCTTGAGCAGTTCAGAATCAAGTCTATGTCTTTACGATGACCTTAGAAGATGAAGCATGGCTGGGTGGGGAGGCTCACGCTTGTAATCCCAGCACTTCGGGAGGCTGAGGTGGGCAGATCACCTGAGGTCAGGAGTTTGAGACCAGCCTGGCCAACATGGAGAAACCCTGTCTCTACTAAAAATACAAAAATTAGCCAGGCATGGTGGCACACACCTGTAGTCCCAGCTACTTGGGAGGCTGAGGCAGGAGAATCACTTGAACCCGGGAGGCAGAGGTTGCAGTGAGATGAGATTGTGCTACTGCACTCCGGCCTGAGTGACAGATTGATACTCCATCTCAAAAAAAAAAGAAAAAAAAGAAGCACATCTGAGCTTCTGAGAGCCACGGTAAACACCATACAACAGTCACTGCATTATGGCAGGCTAACTGGCAACAGCTCTGCCTGCCTCCTATGTCAAAGCGGCCTACTTATTTTTGGTGTAGACTAGAACAATCAAGTTGGTTTCACAAGTCATTACATTTTTTAAAGGTGTCCTGTTCGGGACATGGGAAACAGCATGTTCTGGACATAATATATACGAAGAAAACTGTCAAGTGTGGTTGAACAAGGAATGGGGCATCAGGTGCTCAAACGGCTGCCATCCACGCGCAGCGCATTGCTCATGACCGCGTTCTCAGTTCCAGCACGCCTTGTGCTCCCACACGTTTAAATACCACCAGGAGTTCAATTCCTTATTGTTTCCATTTCACATGAGTTAGTGTTGTGAAGCACCCAGTTACACTTGGCAGAGAAGGCAGTGCCGTCTCCTAATCCTGGAGCAGTAATTTAATTTCTACACCCAGCAGTCCAGATTCTGAAACTTTTAGGATTAAAAGAAAGGCACATGCAGTGAGAGCTCCGGATTCCGCGCGCACGGGTGCGGGGGGGTCCCTATTCCACACGCCCGGGTGCGCGGAGGGGCTCCCGATTCCACGCGCACGGGTGCGCGGTGGTTCCGGATTCCGCACGCCCGGGTGCGCGGAGGGTCTCGATTCCACACCCCCGGGTGCGCGGGGCGGTCCCGATTCCACACGCCCGGGTGCGCGGGGAGTTCCCGATTCCACACGCCCGGGTGCGCGGGGAGTTCCCGATTCCACACGCCCGGGTGCGCGGGGGGTCCCGATTCCACACGCCCGGGTGCGCGGGGGTTCCCGATTCCACACGCCCGGGTGCGCGGGGGGTCCAAATTCCACACGCACGGGTGCGCGGGGGGTCCCGATTCCGCACGCCCGGGTGCGCGGGGGGTCCCCGATTCCGCACGCCCGGGTGCGCGGGGAGTTCCCGATTCCACACGCCCGGGTGCGCGGGGGGCTCCCGATTCCACACGCCCGGGTGCGCGGGGAGTTCCCGATTCCACACGCCCGGGTGCGCGGGGGTCCCCGATTCCACACGCCCGGGTGCGCGGCGGGTCCCCGATTCCGCACGCCCGGGTGCGCGGGGAGTTCCCGATTCCACACGCCCGGGTGCGCGGGGGTTCCGGCTTCCACACGCCCGGGTGCGCGGGGGGCTCCCGATTCCGCACGCACGGGTGCGGGGTTCCGGATTCCGGCGCACGGTGTGCCACATGCACAAGGTTCCTGCCTGCAAAGCTTCCCCGCACCGCTGGTTCTGCTGCGGGAGAGGTCCTGGGCAGGATCTGGGGCAAGGCCGAAGGCACCGCTGTCAGGCTGCGCTATTTTGGTAGCAGAAGCTTGGTTTCGGGGATCCACTTCCCGAGCAAGAACGAGCTCCCGCCGCGGCCTGGGAGCGAGGCTCCAGCCCCAGCCCCCCGCAGCGCTCCTCACTTCCGGTTCAGGGCAGGCGCCCCCGGTGTCCACACGCCGTTCTTCCAGAACCCAGCTTTATTCGCCATTGACGGCCAGACGCCTCCCCAGAGCCTGAAGCTCCCAACCCTGGGGGCGGAATCCTCGGGTGCAACCAGGGCCTTTCAGCCCAGGCTTTGGGCTGGCAGGTGCAGGGTGCAGTGGGCCGAGATCGCACCACTGCACTCCAGCCTGGGCGACAGAGTGAGGCTCCGTCTCAAAAAAACAAACAAAAAAGATGCCCCCCCCCAAAAAAAAAAGTGCTGTTTTTCCAGTTGTGATGCCTGGGACTGTGGCAGCAATGTTAAGCTCAGGGGAAGCAGCAGGTAGTAAGCATGGCCGTGATGCCATTGCTGTCACTAAATTAGCAAGCCTGGGATCTCTTACCACAGGACTCCTTGGTCTGCAAGGTGGTATATTTTCTTCTTGTTTAAACCACTGGGTTTGGGAAGGGGGATTTCTGTTGCTGGTGGTCCCAAGTAGCTGGATAGAATCCCTTTCCTCTGAAATAACAGAGCCTGTTTTGTAAGCTAGAGTACACACATGCATGTGTACACATTCATTGTCCTCCCCCACTTCTTAAATGAAGCTGACTCTTGGGTGAGCGCTAACGTGGCCTCCTCCGTCCTCCAGACCCCAGCTCCTTGGAACAGTGTGTGTGCTCTGTAATCCCTGAGTACTCAGCCCACACCCCAGCACTGTCAGTCAGTTCAAGGCCCAGTTCAAAATCCACTTCCCACATGAAGTTTCCTATTTACACCCCACCTGCATCTTTCTAGAATTCTAACATGGAGCAAGCATCACCTGCAACTTCGTACATCTTGTCTGCTGATCCTGTGTCCCCTCTGTGTGTCCACCCACCCCAGCCATACTGCTGATGCACAGCGACTGACAGAGTGGACGAGTGAGGGCAAGGCGCTCCTGCCCTGCACCTGAAACCTGGAGTTTTCCTTTCCTTTTTCTTCCTCATCTTCTTTCCCCATCTTCTCTGTAGAAGAGATGACAAAAATTGAGATAAAAGAAATTCCGGCCAGCGGAGGCGGCTCATGCCTGTAATCCTAGCACTTTGGGAGGCCGAGCCGGGTGGATCACTTGAGACTAGGAGTTTGAGCCCAGCCTGGCCAACATGGTGAAACCTTGTCTCTACTAAAAATAGAAAAATTAGCTGGGTGTAGTGCCACACGCCTGTAATCCCAGCTACTCAGGAGGCTGAGGCAGGAAAATCTCTTGAACCTCGGAGGCAGAGGCTGCAGTGCAGTGAGTTGAGACCATACCACTGCACTCCAGCCTGGACGAGAAACTGACACTCTGTCTAAAAAAAAAAGGAAATTCAGAGCTCCAACTCTAAAGGAAGAATAAGTATTTTTAAAGAAAGCCAACAATGACATGCCCTCCTCGCTGGGAATGACAGATAAGGGACAGAATTCCGACGGAACGGGGGAAGCGGTGGCTGGATGTGCCACAAACCAGCTCCCATTTTTCTCTCTCACCACACACTGACCAGATAGGCTCTTGAAACTGGGGTTTGGGTGGGGACATCCTTAAACACAGTAGGAAATACAGCAGAGTCCAGCATGCCGCAGACAGTCGAGACATGTCGGGGAGTGAGAGGGGACAGAGCATCCTGTGGTGAGGGCTTTGGGCTTGTTCCCTGAAGCTTCTTATTAGAAAAACAAGATGGAACGTAGATCACATCGCAGTCTTGATTGTAATGAACCTCAGCTGAATGTGCTGAGAGCAGGTTATCTGATCTAATGTGGACTTTGAGGCATTTTGAAATAAAAAATAAAATCCAGGGAGATTTTTGTTTTTAAAATTCCTGTGGTTGTTTGCGAAACCGCAAAATAGAGGGCCACCAGCCAGACACTCCAGACCACCTACAGAAAGAAAGTCTCAGGTATCACGAAGGTGAATCGCTAACAGTCGCTCTTTTCTCCTGGGTGCACAGCTTTGCGGCCATCCCCCCTGCCCCGTGAGACGGCAGAAGGATCGGCACCCCGTGTGGAACCTGCCTTGTGTCCCTGAAGGTATGCAATGCAATCCCAACAGGCTCTTGACTCATTCCAGATATTAAAAATAGGTCATCACTTTCATGAGGTAATATTAAACCAACACTAAGAACTTCTGCAAGACCTTTTATATTACACAATAGAGTTAAAAACTGTAGTAAATGTTCAGATATTTAAATGAGCACCAAACACTACAAAATGCAACCAACATGGTTCTATTAAAAACTCTCTTCGACTATGGCATTCAAGGACAGAATACAATCTTTTTTTTTTTTTTTTTTTTTTTTTTTTACAAAGCAACTAATATAAAAATCTGCAAATGCCATAAATGCGTATCTAGACTATTCTTCTCATATAGGCATGTCATTAGATAGACTTTCTTTCAATTATTTCCTGAGGTATTTTTTGTGGTTTCCTTTTATGGTACTGCTAGATGCATTATTTTTGATCATCCTTTCCTAAAATGATTTAAAGACCTGCAAATAATTTTATTGCATAGGACACTATTCATGACACAGAAAATGGGAACTGCACGTGTGTGGCACTGGAACAAGTCTTACAAATAGTGCATTCTAAGAATCTGTTACATACATTTTTTACAGTTTATCTCTTGAAAAAATTTGAAGTTAAAGCTATGACTTAACTACGTACAGTGAAGCATTTTAGGAATGTCAAGAGATTCGAGAAGATGAATGATACAAAGAAAAAAAAGCCACCATTCTTGCCAGCTATATATTGTATTCCTTCAAAAGCAACTGTACATGCTGTCCTCAGTTCATAGTTAAATATTTCTACTAATCTGTTTTGGGAGAACAAATGTCTTTCAAGGTTTCAAGTTCCTCTATAAGCTTCTTGTTCTGGACTTCCAGCACTGCGACTCGGCTCTCCAGACATTTTACGTATTCTTTCTTTCGACGTCGACATTCTTTGGCAGCTTCCCTGAAAAAAGCAGAAGCAAAGGGCAAACAAAGCATTTTTTGCATGCTACTGACAAACAGATCAAAGTAAGCTCGGTAGGCAAGGGTGATCACGGCTGCATTCCACATCTGGGAACAACATTTTCAATTCAATTTCAAACACTAATCCAAACTGGATTCACAAGGGTCCTTTCCACACGTCCACAGTGCAGTCATTAGAACTGCTGCATGTCCTGCCTTGATTAGAGTTCACAGTAAACAAGGTCCAAGTCAAAGACAGTTACTCTGCTTTATGGCAATAAAGATCTTTGAGGGCCTTGAGTTCCTCAATGAGAGTCTTGTTTTGGTTTTCAAGCACAGCCACACGATTTTCAAGACATTTGACATATTCTTTCTTCTTCCTGCGACACTCCCGGGCAGCTTCCCTGGAACCAACACAAGGCAAATGACTACAGGAACAGCCTTCCAACACAGTCCACAGTGGCTCAGTGCACTTCTGCCCCCCGAACTCAACAGCCAACCGATCCTAGGCAAGGACTGGACAAACCCACGTAACAAACATAACCAGACATGTGCTTTTTGTAAGATAACTGTAAGCCAACAAGAATGACTTGAGAACACAATTCGCCCAGCGTTCATCACAAATGGTGTCTTCTTAGGGCACACATTCCACTGGTAACAACAATCAGAACTGTTTTCAGTAAACTACAATGGGACCACATCCCTGAATGGAATTTCTACAAAAACACTTATAGACCCTTTCAATTATCTTATTTTTGTCTGCCAAAAGGCACATATTCCAACATAATGAGTTAATTTGATTATAAGTTAAAATGATTATAAGAATCCTTAAAAGCCTTAAATGTCAACACTGGAGATTCTTAGTCTTCAGACCAAATCTCAGTAAAACAAGATCAATCGTGACTCCAAGATACAGTTTATTGGCTAGAAAATACAGCATGGATAAATCGTAACAATGAAAAAAAGATGTGCATTTTTATAAACCAAAACGAATGGACGGTGCTTCTGAAAATTCAAGAACAAGGCGGCTACAAAGACAACACTCAATAACCCAGGCAATTTAAACCCACGAATGTGAGACCACCACAATTACAATAATAAAGAAGCTACTGAGTTACTCTGGGGCACATTTCAAGACTGTTTTCCAATCACATGCATTTAATATCCAATATTTTGAATTTTAAAGCACTATAAGCCCAAACTGAAAGAACAGACCAGTAGCCAAAGCAACAACACAAATAGATGAGTTGAGTTCGTCATTTTCATGTGTGACCCCACAAAACAATAAAGATAGCCAACATTTCTCTTTGTCTTTCTTTCAGGGTGGGAGGGATGGGAACTACTTCCCTTAACTCCTCTATAGAAGATACCCTTTGGCCTCATTTTGGAGGATTCAGTTCTAGAATAACTGCCTTTGAGGTAGATCACCCTTCATATCAAAAAAGCCTACACTGAAACAGATATCATCATTCACATATGTTAACAAAAGCAGTGCTGAATGTCTAAACACCAGGTTCTGTAATGCAGATTAGCATCCTGATCCACATGTGATACGTACATGATTTTTTTTTTTTAAGATAACTGACTCCCACTGACTGGATATCTGTGTTTTCACTGTGGAAGCGTGAGTCAGCAAAGAAGAACCTTGAAATCCAAATGAACTGCAGGAAAAGATCAACCCTTGCTTCCTAGCCAGGAACAATGGACTCACCCTGTGAACTCACAAAGTTCTCAGACTTCTCAGATGGTTAACAAAAAAATTAAAAATATAGAATTGAATGTTATAGTGACTAATTTAATTTAAATGATGCACATGGAAAAGTTAAGAATAAATCCACACACACATTTGCCACTTTGGAAACATAATTCAACTCTTTTCCACAAAGAAACTGAAATTCATTTATGAATACCAAGGTTTTCATGGTTAAACTATATTAAATTCTAGACCTAGAAGGAAGATAGTCATTTTACAAAACAGGTTACCATTCAATGAAAAACTTAAAGACCTAATAGCAGTGCTGTGGGTATTTAATCTTTAAAATTTTATTTACCAAGTTATTATAAATATCCATACTTCATATTTCACATTTGAGTGTGTGTGTGTGCGTGTGTGTGCACGTGCACACGTTATGAGAGTCAAAATGTCCCAGGCACAAAGCTTTTCATAATCGTATCAGTAGATGGTACATTCCTAAGTACTCCTCAGCCATGGAAAACACCTGTTTCTTCTATTAATAGTGAGCTCAGTTTTCAGGCTTGCATGTTTCTGGGTATATCCTTAGCATAGAGAGGAAATACAAGGCAAGGAGGAAACTGACAAGGATGGAAAGAAATAAAAACTGTTGCTAGACTGGCAGAAATACAATATAATGAAAGATGTGTGAAATACAATATAATGAAATATATGTGTGTTCTGATTACCTGGTTATAATAGATATGCACATCAAAGTCTTTACCAGTATGTTTCTGTATTCCGTATCAGATTGCAAAGATGGAATGTTACTATTTTATCAGCAAGGTATTAAAATGCATTTATAAACTCTTCTTGGCTTCATTCATGAATAAACGTGTTAGCAATTAAAAAAAAAAATGATGCCAACCGAAGAATAAAAAGAGAATACGTAAGAGATCTTTCTGTGAATTACTAAAGCCTACATACTTTCCCATGAAGTGAAATCTGCAGGTTATAACAGGGTATTTTCGAGGTGCCAGATGCTAGTATAGAGGACAGTCTCTGGAATAAAGACTGCCTGGTTGCCCATCCTGGTTCTGCCCAGTTTGGGCCACGTGATCTTGACCAACTTATTCCTTAACCTCTCTGAACCTCTGGTCCTCCTGAGTAAACTGGGGATAATAATGACCTACACTCATGTAAACATTAAAGACACAGTAGAAATAAAGCATTTAAAACCTGCTAAACAGATAATGAGCAACCTAACAGCCATGTATCATCTGCTTTTCTCTTGTCCTGCTCTGAACCTTTCTCAGAATCCTTTACAGCTAGGGACTAAAGACCTACTTCTAACCAATGACATGTAGGTGAAAGTTGCCGGGTCTTCCAGGAAAGGTGTGCAGTTGGGCTAGACCTCAACCAGCCCCAGTTTTGGCTCTCGCCCTTCCTCCTTATTCCTGTCTGAGGCGGTGCCTGGAGGTTCAGCCGCCGGGCTGTGATCATAAGAATGAATGGCACATGCTGAAATGACAGGCAGGGAGCGGGGGCCCTCGATGACACTGCCGAGTCTCTGTCCTGGCTGCACACAGTGAGGACATTATTTGACACTCAGGGATAAGGTGACAAGGCTACTGGGAAACTCCAAGACAATTCTGTTCCTTTTGAAAAGATTAATTGGCACCATAATCCATGATAAAAAAACTAAACCAAGAAATAATATACAAGTTAGATAAAATAAAATTGTATTTCTGTTTAAATTTTTTTTAAAGTTTGGAAAATAGCATTTTCTACTATGTTGTTTAAAAAATAAAATTACACAGATACGGAGCAAGAAAAAGTGAGAAAAAGTGAGAGCAGACTGGAAGTACTTATAACAGGAGGTGTCGTTATGTGGTTAGAGACATGGGTGATTGTAATTCTTTTTGTTATTTTATATTTGCACTTGACTAGAATTTATCAGATTAAATACGTATTGCAGTGTAATAGAGGGAAAAAGTTACAAAATAGATAAAAGGAAACTACATGTAGAAAATGTAGAAAACAAACGCTTAACTTACACTTAAATTTATTTTGCTCATAGAGAAGCTAAAAAATTATATTCATCACCTACTTCACAAAGTAAATACAAAATACAAAATAGCCCTTTATAATGAAGTCCTTTCATCATTAATTTAAAAACTTACTGTATCTTTTGACTATTACCCTTACAACATAGGGACGTAACTTCTGCTGATGAAATTGTTGCATGGCCAGGAACTCGGACTAGATGACTGTCTAATAACACACTCATACAGAGCACAAACCTACATGAAATGCCACATGTTATGTGAGAAACAAAGGAGAAACACTTTTTATCAACATTTACAGTTTATGAAAACTCATTTTTAAAAAGTGTCCTAGAAGTTACCAATTGCCTGTGAAACGTCTCACCTGTTCTTCATTAGCCTCAGCTCTCGTTTGCGTGTTGCTTCTTCTGCCAGCTGCTGGGGACTGTGCAAACTTCCGGGCGATGCAGCCATCACCACTCCCTGTGGCAAACCAGTAGTAGGAGCTCGGATCTGGTAAGTCGGCATGTCACCAGTGGCAGCTGCAGTAAAACAAAATATTTCAAGCTTACATAAAGAATTCATAATTTGCCATCTTACATAAAACTGACTTGGAAATGGTACACTTTTGACATGCCGTAAGAGGTAATCTTGTAATGTGTATGATAATTATTCTGAGCATTATAGCAATCTCAAGTACTAAAGATCTTCCTCAGCACTTAGAACAAGGTATTCGGCATGCTCTAAACATTTAAGGTAGAAAAGTGTCCTAATGCATTTTAGACAGGTTTTTATCAAAGGCAAAAGCCCACTCACTGCCTTTTCCATAGATAGCTCATTTAGCCTAAAATCAGTGGTGTGCTGATAAATATCTACAGTCCTCAGGGAAAAACAATTAAAAAGCCCTGATGTGTAGTGCTTGATAATTCTCATGATGTAAATACTTCCACTATGGCCAGTTTCAAGCGACCAACGTGACTTCACTGAGCACAGAGTTGAAAAGAGACACGCAGCATACAGACAGAACAGATGCCAGTACCCACAGAGCACAGAATACTTGGACATTCTGAGTTTTGAGTACGAATGTTTTTAATGTGTAAATATATTGTGTATGTATGTGTATATATGCATATGTATATACATAGATGCATGTATATATATATATACACATATATACACACACACACAATTTTTTTTTTTTTTTTTTTGAGACGGAGTTTCACTCTTGCTACCCAGGCTGGAGTGCAATGGCGCGATCTCAGCTCACCGCAACCTCTGCCTCCTGGGTTCAGGCAATTCTCCTGCCTCGGCCTCCTGAGTAGCTGGGATTACAGGCACGCGCCACCAGGCCCAGCTAATGTTTTTTGTATTTTTAGTAGAGACGGGGTTTCACCATGTTGACCAGGATGGTCTCGATCTCTTGACCTCGTGATCCACCCGCCCCTCAGCCTCCCAAAGTGCTGGGATTGCAGGCTTGAGCCACTGCGCCCGGCCTCACAATTTTTAATAATAGCTGTTTTACAAGCAGCTCACAAAGATACTGAATTTTTTTTTTTTAGGCAGAATCTTACTCAGTAGCCCCAGGCTGGAGTGCAGTGCCGCAATCTCGGCTCACTGTAACTTCCGCCTCCCCAGTTCAAGCGATTCTTGTACCTCAGCCTCCCAAGTAGCTGAGATTACGGGCATGCACCACCATGCCTGGTTATTTATATTTTTAGCAGACATGGGGTTTCACTATGGTGGCCAGGCTGGTCTCGAACTCCTGACCTCAAGTAATCCACCTGCCTCAGCATCCCAAAGTGTTGGGATTCCAGGCATGAGCCACCATACCCAGCCTGAAAATTTAACAGGCTCTAGCAAGCCAGCAGGAGCTGACGGCAGCACAGTACTGCAAAAATTTCCAGTAAGCAGAAGAGCTCCATCCTCTGAATGTTTCAGTTTAGAGATTTTCCTATACCCCATATCACGCCTGAAACAGACACTGAATGTCTTTAAGTGCAATTCTCATTACTAGAAAATGATTGAAGCACTGGAAGGAATTGAGCTCACTGCAGCTTCAGTAAAGAAACAAACAAACAACAACAACCACCACCCAGCAAAGCTCTGCTTAAACCTAGTTTCTCTGGGGAAAGATAATTTTTGTCTTTCTTAGGTTTCCTAGCAAAATAATACTTCTGTAAATATTCATTTAAAAATATTGTCTAAGCATAGTATTATCATACAGTTAAAAGACAGCATTTAATATTTACTTAGTGTTCAGGTCGAATACTAAAAGTAAGCTCTCAAAGTTTCTTAATTTATATTCAAAATTTGCCTATCTACAGCAAGAAACATAGCTTCCTAGAAAAGACAGATGGATTTGAGTGATAAAACGTTTCTCCCACCAACGCTTCAACATTGAGAACGTATGGTCGAGAGTTAGTTTGTCACTCTGATGAGACATTACAAAATACATACTCTCTCAAAGCTAAGTGCAAGAAAAAGATTTCTTAAAGTTATCAAATCCTATAAATATTGTCTGAACTAAATTCCAATCAAAAGAAAATACAGCACTTCTCTATTTCATGAAAATGTATCATACCCATTGAATAAGAAGTGAAATTTCACCCACGGAGACAAAAACTTTGTTAGCTAAATAGGATATTATCACTGAAAATGGCCAAGCAGTCTTAAAAAGTTAAACAAAGATTAACTGATCTATGTGCTTCTATTTGGGTATATGCCACAATTTTTCCCTCTTAAGGCTTGAGAATTAGGTGAAAGAATACAACAAAAACATGGCTTTCACCGGGCGCGGTGGCTCACGCCTGTAATCCCAGCACTTTGGGAGGCCAAGTTGGGCAGATCACCTGAGGTCAGGAGTTTGAGATCAGCCTGACCAACACAGAGAAAACCCCATCTCTACTAAAAATACAAAATTAGCCAGGCGTGGTGGCACATGCCTGTAATCCCAGCTACCTGGGAGGCTGAGGCAGGAGAATTGCTTGAACCCGGGAGGTAGAGGTTGCGGTGAGCCAAGATCGCACCACTGCACTCCAGCCTGGGCAACAAGAGTGAAACTCTGTCTCAAGACAAAACAAAACAAAAAACATGGCTTTCAAAGAAGCTCACTTAAAGATTTTTGAAGAATAAAAATATTTATAAGGTTGTACTGTCTTTTCCTTCTACATGTAATTTTAAAACATTGGTGATAGGTAATCATTGTGATTAGTCATCAGCATATGAATAAACTTGGGAAAAGTCCTATTTTTGTGACTATCCAAAATAATGTATACACAGATAACTCAGTATGACTCGTACAAAACTGTGTAGCTTTGAGAGAGTTAAGGAGGTCATGTTAAGCCTGTTATAAACTAACTTAAGAGACTATTTAAAATATCTTCTTCATCGTATTGTCGGAGGAGATGGAGTGGAGCAGAGAACAACATAGCTCTCCTCTCTTCTCCTCACCCATATCCAGGGAAGAAGGTTGTGGTATAAGAAAGGCTGAAACAATGGAACAGCTGGAGGCACCTAGGCCTTCTAAAATTGTAATTGCCAGAGACAGACGAGAAGTTTACATGACACCAGGGTGACACGTGCAGGCAGCATGGATGCTAGGATCATTCTTTCCAAACACTGCCCACACAGATATGCAATAAAATTAATAGGTAGGGAGGGGCTCATTACAGTCTAGTTCTGTAGACATTTGCTCTTTTCTGTAACATAAAGTTAGAGCAGGATGCTTCCATGATAAACAAAAGCCAGTTTTGTTAAAAAAAAAAAACATTTTTTTTTAAAGGGGTGAGTGGAAATAGTCACAGATGAAAAATAAAGTTCAAGGCCAGACATGGTAGCTCATGCCTGTAATTCCAGCATTTTGGAAGGCCAAGGTGGGAGGTTCACTTGAGCCCAGGAGTTCAAGACCAGCCTGGGCAACATGGTGAAACCTGGTCTCTACAATAAATTTAAAAATTAGCCAGGTATGGTGGTGCGCATCTGTGGCTCCAGTGTCTGAGCTGGGAAGATCATGTGAGCCCAGGAGGTTGAGGCTGCAGTGAGCCATGATCATGCTACTGCACTCCAGCCTGAGGGGCAGAGTAAGACCCTGTCTCAGGGGGGAAAAAGAAAAGAAAGAAGAAGTTCATTAATTGGCCTTGTATTTATCAGAAATGGTTCTAAACAACTCTTGACTGTTTCTAGAAGCAACAACCACCCTCAAGGAACCAAATTTGGCACCATGAAGAATAATGGCAATTCCAAAATAAGAATTCTTGAAAACATTTTGAGCAATAGCTCAGAAAAAATACCACTTTAAAACAACTTGGAAGGGGATGATATATTCAGATGCATTCGTTCTGAGATGTTTGGTGACTGGGTTTTATTGTAATTTTTCAGAGGTATCATATATTAATTTTATCTCCCTCAATAAAATCAAAATGAAAGCACATTAATTCAAGCCATAAACAGGAATTAGTATAAATTAGTAGGAATTTCTAAATTTCTATTATATCCCAAAGGATCTATAAGGTGGTATACTTCTAATGGTCAGCGGACAAACCCCATATACTCAAATATAATCTTATTAGCAAAGTACATTTAAAAATATATGGGCAAAGATAGCTATGCACAGTGGCTCATGCCTGTAATCCCAGCTTCTTCAGAGGCTGAGGCAGCCCAGGAGTTCACTCGGGCCCAGGAGTTCAAGTCCAGCCTGGGCAACATAGTATGATGCTGTCTCTTAAAAAAATAAAGATACAAAGATAATCTCTTATTTTGAGAAAATCTAAATGTCGCAAAGTTTTATTTTTAAAACAAGTTATAGGCCGGGTGTGGCGGCTCACACCTGTAATCCCAGCACTTTGGGAGGCCGAGGCGGGTGGATCACCTGAGGTCAGAGGTTTGAGACCAGCCCAGCCAACATCATGAAACCCCGTCTCTACTAAAAACACACAAAAAAATTAGCTGGGCATGGTGGTGCATGTCTGTAGTCCCAGCTACTCGGGAGGCTGAGGCAGCGGAATACTTTGAACCCAGGAGGCAGAGGTTGCAGCGAGCCAAGATCCCACCACTGCACTCCAGCCTGGGTGACAGAGAGAGACTCCATCTCAAAACAAAACAAACAAAAAAACAAGTTATAAAAAAAAGTATGTATCTTAGTCAGCTTTAAATTTCCAATATTATGAATTCCATGGAAATTTAAAGTAGATAATATACCAAGGATCACAGTTCTAAAAATCGTGTATTCTCTGATGACACACTGCTATTCCTGTACTCTTATAAAGGCCAATTCCTGTCCCATTTAACTACTGAAGGTGTCCAATTACTTTTTATTCTAGAATTTTCATATTCTGAATATATATGGGTTATCAGTGGGGAATTAAAAATCGTGACTGAAAAAAGATTGTTAAGATGTTTGCACACTAACTTCATTCTCAGGAAAGCAGAAACTTTAGGACACATCAGGGTTAGTATATTTTTTACCCCAGAATCTAGCACAGTACTTGGCATGTAACGGGTGCTTCACGAGTTTATGTGTGCTGTAGGAAGTAACATTTGAACT